GGGGGGGGGGGGGGGCGGGCAGGGGCAGGGGAGTGGGTGTGTGGAGTTTCTTATTTTTCTCGGCAGACCTTTGTAAAGTACAAGTAGAGTAAGAGAGAGAGAGAGAGAGCAGTGAGAGAGAGAGAGAGAGAGGGAGAGGCCTGATCTGTGTGTGTCCAATCTCCGAATGTTTCGATATAGGCGCGGATGCACGACAGCCCCCCTGATGAATGAATTTCTTCTCACTTATATGTATGAGTATATATCGAAAATCGATCTGACTACTTCTCCACTCGGTGTTTTCTTCTCCTCCCTTTCTGCTTCTTACCAGTAGTGAGTTACACTAGTAGTAAGTAGTTGATGATAGTAGTGATATTCCTCTTCTTTTTCTTTTTTTTTTCTTCTCCCCCCTCTAAATCATCTTCTCTGCCTGTGTCGACACTCTCAAACAATTGCGCCTCCCTCGGTGCGGAGCAGCCTAGCAGCCTACCTCCCTTTTTTTAGAACGGGCGCGTACATGTACGGAGCACGCCCAACCAAGCATCGTCAGAGGCTAGGGCCCAGCCGGACAGCATGGAAGGGATGGTGTGGCGAGCATGGGTCCCGTACGGCAGAGAGAGAGAGAGAGAGAGAGAGAGAGAGAGAGAGGGGCAAGCCGTCCAACCTAGACAGAAGCTGAAGGGAGGCACGACGCACGAGAAGGCTGGTCAGATGGCGATGATGATGATGATGATGACGATGACGCATCGACGACTACGAGCACGAGTACGGGCAGTGTACGGGCGCATTGTACTCTGTAATCTGTACCATCGATTCCTGCTATCATCACCTGCACTGCAGGCTATACGAGTAGAGCTTTTGCTGCTACCCAAGATCCAGTTGGTGGTTGGTGGTTGGTGGTTGGCCAGTTCCGGTCCACGGCTGAGCAGCGGTGCCGAGGCCCCGCCTACTGGTCACCACAGCGCGCGCGCGCGCGCGCGGTACAGAGTATTGCACGGACTCCCCCGCGTACGGGCATCCCATCCATCACCCTCTCTGCGAGATGATGGGTTGCTGGGACTTGTTTCCCCCTGCCAGAGAATATCAGTCATGATCCGCTACGGCTGCGACTGCGCATGGCCGGTACGTGTGCACAGATATCGCTGCACAATGTATCCGTACCCGTCATACTACTCTCCCGCATAGGTATAGGTGGCCTACCAGTACCCGGCACCTGACCGCGTCCGTTCCCGCCACGGAGCCTCGTTGCTGTTTCTATTTCTAGGGAGCATCGACACGGGGACGCTCGTCGCAGTCCTCAGCATGAGATGATGGGACGCATTGGGATCGAATATAACATCATCTTCACCGGTACCTACCTCACAGTACAGATTACATACAGCGTAATACAGAGTACATGTATGCGAGTACATGTATACGGGTACCTGTATACGGGTACATGTATGCGGGTACCTGTATACGGGTACCTGTGTACGGGCGAGTACCTGTATACGAGTACATGTATACGTACAGATTACAAGGGGTCGATACTCCTCCATACAGTAACAGTAACCGAACCTCAAACCTGTTATGTACTCCTCTGCATAAACATGGCAGGATAGAGCCTGCAAATCCTCAGACGTCCCGCATGGCATCATGCCATGCTCTTGGCTCTTCCCCATTGATGCATCTCCATGCAGTGATGATGATACTCTCGTACCTTTCATTCTACGTCAATTACATCCATACTCTCTCTCTCTCTCTCTCTCTCTCTCT